ATACGTCATATAATAATATATGATTTCATATGATTTTTAATCTATGATTTGTAAATTCTATATAACGAATAATTATAGATTGACATATTTCATATGGACCCTAAACCCTAAACATATTTCGATGAAATATGTTACTAAAAGAAAGAATGTTAACTCGAATTCTTATAGATATTTGTAAAAAATATATCAAATTAGATTTTGAAATTCTCTCAGATAATATCATTTTTCTTATAAGTAAGCACCAGGTTAACTTCAAATGAGAGAAAAAAAATACAAAAATTAACTCATAAAATTAAGTTGAAAATATATTGAATATATTATGAGTAATATACAAGCTCTGGAATATTTATATACCAGAGGTTATCTTTTAGTTACTTTTAACCAGAATTGAATTTATTATTTAACGAGAAATATATTTGAATCTAATTTAAATTTTTTTATACTTTAATATTTTAAATAAATTTAGTTATTTTATTTATTATAATTTTACAATTAGATGATAATTTTAGCGATATTGTGCATTGGAGTTCACTCAACCCGGAAGATAGAAGTTGATAACGAAAGGGTTGGCCAAGAAATCATGGAAGCTTCGCGTCGCGCCCAAGGAAATTCTCTTGGCGCAACCGAACCTGCTAGAGCTCGAAGCTCCTATCAAGATATATGGTGATATCTATGGCAATATTCAGATCTTTAGAGGCTGTTTGAATATGGTGGTTTTCCGCCTGAAGCCAACTACTTGTTCTTTGGGGACTATGCGAATGGAGGGAAGCAGAGCCTAGAAACCATTTGCGTTATACTTGCTTATAAGATCAAATATCCAGAGAATTTCTTTGTGTTGAGGGGCAACCACGAGTGTGCTTCCATGAACCGAATATATGGTTTCTATGATGAATGCAAGCGTCGGTTCAATATTAGGCTCTAGAAGATTTTTACCGAATGTTTCAACTGTTTACCTGTTGCTGCCCTCATTGACGAGAAGATACTCTGTATGCATGGAGGGCTCTCTCCATATTTGAAGAGTTTGGAACAGATCAAGAAAATTGCCTGACCCACAGACAATTGTCCGACCCACAGACGTACGGGAATCTGGAACGTCTGTGGGATCTATTGTGGGCTGATCCCGACAAAGTTGTTACATGCTGGGGTGATAACGACCGTGGAGTATCATATACCTTTGGCTACGACGTTGTGACAGATTTTCTGCAGAAACACGATCTCATATGTCGAGCCCATCAGGTGGTTTAAGATGGATATGAGTTTTCTGCCCAGAGGCACCTCGTCACCATCTTCTTTGCGCCCAACTATTATGGTGAGTTAAACAATGCTGGAGAGATGATGAGTGTGGACGATACGCTCATGTGTTCATATTAAATACTCAAGCCAGCCGAGAAAAAACAGCCTAAATTTTATGGTAATTCAAATTCTGCAAGACCAGGAACCCCTCCACGCATTGTATAGCCGTATCAAGGCAGCAAGGGCTAGGCACTGCAGTTGTTCTTCTGATGAAATGACGAAACCGTCTTGACTGAATTGTCAAGGCAAGGTGAAACTTTGAGTGCTCTTGTGCAAAGGGGTTCATTATCAGTTTGAGTGCATTTCATCAGAGCCTAGAGTTAATGAACACCAGCGCAAGGCACTTAGTACCCTAGGATTGGGAGCTGGAGGAGGTGTCTCCACTCGGGTACAGTATCGGAGGCAATGTCTAGCTCTGAATGGGGGTGCTAAGCGAGAAGATTGGTAGGGTATGGGCACTCTGGTAGGTTTTCATATGAGCTGCAAACGGAGTTCTTAGAAATCATTGCATTGTGTGTACATTAAAGAAGCAAACAGACTGACAACTCGAATCAGTCATATGGCACCATCAGGGTGGAAGGAATTTCTTCAGGTGGTGGAGATTTTGAAAGCTGCTGAAGCAATCAACTTGAAAAACAGTGAGCTACTGTCTCTTGGCCAAACCGCATAACCGGTTCGCGGAGAGAAGGAACTCTGGCTAGCCATGGAATTTGCTAGCGAACATGTAAGATCGCTAACAGCTCCGCAGCTTGCTGCAGTATGTGGAACTCTTGTGTCTGATGAAATCAAGACTCGCCCAGAGTATGGTCACAGTGTTTTCTATGAAGCCTCCACTGCAATCCAACAATGGGTGGATGCAATGGAAGGTGCGCGGGCAAGACTGCTGCGTTTACAGACAGAGCACGGAGTCTATATACCATGCTTGATCGATATACAATTCGCTGGGATGGTAGAGTCTTGGGCAGCAGGTGTCACCTGGACGGAGTGAAATCTGCATTACCATTAGGTGAGGACATTCTGAAGTTCGCCGAAGGAGTAGCGCCTGAGGATGTCGTCTTCCACAAGTGTTATTCTACAAAGTCATGAGAAGCAACCTCAGAAGAAGAAGAGCAAGGTGAAATCTGAGGAAGACGTCCTAGGATTGGAAAAGGGTGCAACTTTTGACGGAGACGACAGTGAAAACAAAGAAATTGAAGAGTTATTTGAGCAAGAAGCAGGAGAGTAGTGGCAGATAGAAAGGACGAAGGGCGAGGTAAATGGGGAAAAGTTTTGAGCTGTGCGGTGTTGCCGGAATCCTGCCTTGGAAGCTGGTGGGTATATAAGAAAAGATCCAGCATGTTCCGTTTCTGACGAGCTGCGCAAGGTACGAGATCTGTGTAGAAGGTGGAGATGGAGGAGGAGGAATTGAGGTGAGTTGATGGCAAATATACACTCCGGGGCTGTCGTTGCTGCGGCTTCTCGTGTCGGAGGTGCTACGCAGCAAGAACAATGAAGAACTAACTGACAAATCAATGAACAACCACAACTCGAATCAACATCTCAACGAACGACAAGACTCACGACACGCTGCAAAAAGCAACAGCAAGAAGTGAATCGATAAGGAAGAAGAACAACAGCAATAATGCATGGCTAGGTATGGACGTCAGTCTCGACGTCGGGACTTCTCTGACGCATCAGACTTCAGCAACAAGTAGGATTATGACCGCGATCAGAATCAGATGGATTAGAAGGAGATAGTCACGGGGAAAAACGAAGAGCGTCTCTGGAGACCAGAGTCATGAAAGCAGAAACCTGAGGATGGTTCTTCTCTAATGAGGCACGGATCCCACGACTCCAGCGGAAGTGAAGAATGGATTGTTCGGACAGCGGAAGGATATGCAAGCGGCGGAATGTTTTGCAGGCGTTGTCGTGGTGGCTGGCGGCAGTCGTCATCCAGGTGCCCTCTGGTGGCGGCTACGGGTTGCTGCAGGAAGTGGCCGTTAGGGCCGCTGCTCATTGCTGGAGAGGGAAGCGGAAGGGGTGGGGAAGTTGGTGTCAGTACTTGGTGGTGGTTCCTGCGAAGTGAGGTGCTTCGGGAGAGTGAAAAACCTGCCAGTGAGAAACTTAGAAATAACAAAATATTTCAAAAAATAATTTATTCCATTTTATTTTTTGTTGTCCTCATAATTTTCTCATTTTTATGTTTTTTAATTATAGAATTAATTTTGGCCGAACCTGCTTTAATACTACGGTATTCTCAACTCACTTCAGCTATTTGGTTCCTCTGCTGGCCTCGTATTATCTCTATTGCCTGATGGCCCGTTTCACATATTCATATATTGGGTAGTGGGGTGGGACCGTGAGGAGGAGTGGTGTCAGATTGATGACAACCAGCTCTGGTACTGATTATTTTTGGGAGATTTGGGAGGTTTGGTTTTGGTTTCCATGAAAAAAAGGAGGGCAAAGGACCGGTTCCCTTTACGAATAACTCTAATAGCAGTGCAAGAAAATCGAGTGATCCAAATGGTAAGACGGCGCACAGTAATATACCTGGATGTAATGGGGTAAATTAATAAGCATATATCCGTTGTGTATACTTGAAGAATTAAGGAGCATCAGTTCTAGAGAGGACTCCATTGTAGTAAGAAGCTCCGTTGTTTCCAAATAGAAAATCTCCATTCCCTTTAACGACGAAGTTCAGTAGCCGGAGTCTTCCCAAAAGGCGTATGTCTGAGTTCTCTGAGACCATGACCTCCGTTCACGGCAACGGTCATGCCAATGGGGGGTTGGCGGGACTCGTCCCGGTAAAGTTGCCACCGGGGTCTCGCCAGCCCTAAAAATCAGGCCGGTCACTCCACATGAGATCCCTTGGACGGTAACTTGGAGTGAAGGTTTGTTGGACGTTATATTTTGACTATTGCAAACTGACACTTTTTTAAAATTGTCAGACATGGCTTGTCGGAGGCAAAGGGCTGGTTCAGTGGGGTTGTCGGAGGGGGCCGGCAAGGATGGTTGCAAGGGGAAATGTTTTAGGCAAATTAAATGTTTTTGCAACTTAATTATACTGTTTAAATTGGTGTAGATTGTATTTATTTGAAGTGAAAATAATTTAAAAATATTTAGATCTTTTATAATTGGAATGTAAAGTGCAAATTAGAACTCATTAAATTAGTTTTTTGTTCTTAAACTTTTTTTTTTATTAAATTCTTAAGTTCAATGAAGCTTTCGATGAACATATTTAGTGATGAAATGGAGAGAGGTAAAAATATGAAAAGTAGAGAACTGTGTGATCTAAACTCTCGGGTTTTTTTTTTCATGGGAAGAAGAACTCTATCTAGATATAAAAATTTATTTGTGATGTAGTATGAATTCTATGAACAATTTGGTATTTTGTAAGTTATGCTTCCAGCACATTGCAATATCATTGTCCAGCCATTGCGCACTCTCGGCTAGACGCTGCCATCCATACTTCTCAGACTTCAATCGATCTAAAGTTTAGATCGTTCGCTATAGGTTAAAAAAACAATTTGAAATAAACGCTTCCACATTACTCTTAGCGAGCTTCGTTCTAAATGGTCATGGTGGACACAAGTAAAAGCTAAAAGCCTGATCATTCACCCAATCCTCAAGAATACAAACAGTTTTCTCGTCATTATTACAGTGCTGGCCATTGCCTGCCTTTATTATTACAAAATGAGCTGAACTCATTCACACACATGCAATAACACAGAAAAGGAAATAACTGCCGAATGTAAAGAGACAGCCAAGCACTGAATCATGTTCTATGTCGTATGTTTCATCAACTCATTTGATCGACAAGGTAGACAGTTGATACATCGATCTAAGCCTCGGCGATGGAAGCAGGAGTGTCATCGGTGTTGAGGCTCAAGTCGTGCTGGTTCCAGATGATCTTGTACTTGAGCCAATTGGCGTTCGAGGGGTTGAGAGGGTAGTCGTAGTTGCATCCGTTTTCTTCATTGCTCTTATCGCAAATGCATCCGATGTCGGCCTGGAAGGGGCCGATGTCTGCCTGGAAGGAGCACCCATTGTCATAGTCGCACCAACCCGAGTCCGTGGCGCGAGTCACGAACCCTATGCTCCAGTCGCGTTTCAGCACAGACGGGCCGTAAGAGCGGCAGCACAATGAGCCGTAATCGTAGTGGCAGTCTTCGTTGTACTGGTGGCAGCCATTGCAGCGACGGATGCACAAGTAGTATCCCGTAGCTCGCTTGTCTTGCGTGTACTCTGCCACCATCATCTGTGCGTTGTTGTTGGTTTGGCCTGTTGTTACCACCAGTGGGCAAGAGTACGCCTTCCACCCCTCGTAGTACGCCTGCATGCAATTGTACAAAGTCAGATCCCATCTGGGTCCCAAGCAGGGTGATATTACTTGACTTGACTGGATTCAATCAATTCGATAGTATACTACTGTATGTACCTGCAGTGCGTAAGCCCTCTTTGCGTTATCGCTGTTGCTGGCCGAGCGGCCGAGTAGAAAATCCCAGACCGGAAGGTATTCGTATCGCACGGGCTGATCGTCCACAGAGTCTTGGCTCAGAAACTCCTGCAGAAGCGCTTGAGTGGCGGGCCCGCTGGCCAATTTGCTGCGTGTAGCCACGCTGCCACCCTTCACCCGCTTCGTGTCGGTGGTGGTGAGCTTCGATGCGGCCCGTCTCTCGGCTTCGCTGAAGCCGGCGCAGGCTCCCAACGCGCCCTGGCCCTTGATTCCCTCGGCCTTCACGCACGCCTTAATCTTCATGGCATTCTGATTGTAATTGTACTCGGCTACACTGCTCCAGTGTAAGCTACATACACAATGTGCTAGCCCCACTTGTTCATGAAGTCGCGGAACGGTGGCCATGAATGATCCACATGCGGATCCTTCACCAGAGGGGGCAAACTCTGGAAATCCTTCATGAAATCGCTTTTGAGGGGGAAGTTGTTGAGCCCCTGCGTAGGTACGTTTTGCTGTAGAAACGCGCGGCACGGACTTCAGCCAATTTCACGTTACTGTAGTATCCAATCCTGACACTCGCTTGAACTCTGCATCCACACTGAAGCTGATCCCCCGGGCGCCTCCGCTCACTCCTATGTCAGTAGCGATCTGACACCATTACATAGCCACGTTGAGCGATTTTAAGTATTTTTTGTACCCAAATTGGGAGAAGCCATCTTTTCAGCTCTCTACATATGTTTGCAAATGGAATATGGTATAGTATAGAATTTTGACAGTCGTGGCGACAATGGACTTGGTGCTAAAGTTGCCACAACAAATACTCTACCAATCATTGGTAGGTAGACTATATTTAGAGTATATTAAGAGTAGACTGAAGTTGTATTAGTACCGACTGCTTGAACTTGTCGCTGCTTTCGAAAAACCTGGAGTCCAAGTCTGTGTACGATTGCTTGGAGGTCTTGGCGATGCTGTTCAAGTCGTTAGCATTAAATATCAGCGGATCTGAGTTGTGATCATTCTGCAGGTTAACATGGGGCAGATAGACAATTCTTCCCAGCGATTCGACGGCGGCACTGTTCGTGGCGGCGGCAGCGACATGAGTTATCGCAGCCAGAAGCCCCATGCACAGTTTCAATCTGATCACAAATTCTCCAAAGTGAGTAACACTATTTATACAACAGCATAACATTGCACGACCAGCGAACACAAAATCTGAGAAACCTCATCAATATACGTTGCCCAATTGATACTTCATAGTGTTGCACGTAGACATGCCATAGCATCTCATATTCTCCATGTGAAAACTGAACAATGTACAAGGTCTTGGCGACAGAATACAGGTCTGCAGAATCAAACCGTATCAATGCTGATGTCTCCATGGTCATGTTGGTCGAAGTCCACAAGCTACTACTTGGATTGAGAGTGTAGAGGCAGGCCTCTCTATATACGGCACATAAGGAACTTTTGAGTCAAAGTTCCGTATTTCGTTTTTTTAAAGTTCCGTATTTGGACCATAAATGACCTCGTTCACTTTGGAGACGCTACAAACAAACTTAAACTGCAGGTACCATTTCGAAACAGTTGTTCGAAACGGTATGGGAAGGTTATCGAAACGCCTGTTTCGATAACCTTCCCACGCGCACTCTTCGCGAAATCAGTCCCGTCGCTGTCACCCACGAAGGAGATGTCACGGAGTTGCCAGGCATGACCTGCTTCCCAGACACTAAAGCTCTCATTCGAATTATATCGAATCGAATCGAATCGAATTGATGATCTACAGAGAGGGGGATCAATTTACAAGATTTCTGGTTAAATTCGGCGGTGCAGCAAATGCCTTTGGTTTTAAAGTGCACGACTATTCTGCCACCTTTTGCAGTGTCAAGAATTAGAATCCGCACCTCTGTGAGTCGGGCGAGACATCTTTGCGAAGTCGGAGAAAGTAGAACTATGGTTAGCATTCTTTGATGTGGTTTCGGAAGGGGCTGCGCTTACACGACAATCCTGCTCTGCATAAAGCTTGCGAAGATGCGTCTCATGTTTTTCCCGTTTTTGTGTTGGATCCCTTCTTTCTAGCTCCATATCCCACTGCACCTTCTCCTGGCTCAAGGACCGCTGGAGTGAACCGAATACATTTTCTGCTCCAGAGCCTTCAAGACCTGGTCTCAAGCCTGAAGTCTCGCGGCTCTCAGTTATTCTTGGTGCATGGAAATCCCACCGAAGTTATCCCCGACTATCACCGAAGTTATCTAAGCGACTCCGCAAAACTCCATTCCAGCAAAAACATCTATTACAGTATGGTCTCTGTATAGCAAGTCGTGATGCTAGAACTTCTGAAGTGGTGGCAGTTAGGTGTAGATTCTGTGTATGTTTCGGACGCGAAGAACTTGTTAAAAAATCCTCTACATCTTAGACATTTGAGGGGCATCCTTTCAAGACAGACAACTACATGCAGCATCTTCGCATCAATCATCAGGTGAGGTGGAGGGAGTATCAGAAGCTTTCGACTGAAGATAAGTACAAATATTTGCTGTTTCTATTAAACATGCTAAAACTATTTGTCATTTCATGGAAAATAAGTCTGACATGAGCACTTTTATAATCAGATGTTCAATTGTTGATGTGATTATAGGAGACATGCTATGGAATGAAAATGATTTGTATGGTCAATCACGAGCAAATGCAATGTCACTCTTTAAACTAACTGATGATGGGAATTATTGTATTCAAATTAGCCAAAAAAAAAACAGTTTGAGCTGGTAATTCGTTTTGTTGCACGAGGAATGTCCTTCTCAATGGCTGCTGATGCAGTTCAGGATGCGAAAGAGTTCTGTGATATTCCTAAACTTGGATTTTGTAGTGAATCTCTTGTTGCTTCTTATGTTAGAACCGCATGCGCTATATCTATTGAAAATATTGCTCAGATACTACACTCGGCCTGGACTTTTTCTGTAGCCTTTGATGCCTCTTGTGACCTACAGGGAGTTTCTTGGATAGATGTTCAAATTTGGTTTTATCAAAATTCTTCTATTGAAAATCTGCACCTTATCACACTTCCTTTTTCTGGTAGACATACAGGATTGGCTATGTTTGAGATGTTTTGCAAGTTGTTTGATGCAGTTTATCCCTTATGGAAAGACAAGCTAATTGGGTGTTCAACTGATGGTGCTACAAATATGAAAGGACATTTATCTGAAGTTGTGACACGTATTCAGGAAGTAGTTAGACCAAATTTCATTCGTATATGGTGTTTGCTGCATCAGATAGATATTGTGATGCAAAAGATATATAAAAATGCTGGCTGTGGATTTCAGAAGACTCTAACCTCATTGATTTCTGTTTTACGACGTCAGAAAATTTTGATAGATGAAATGCAAGCTATTTGTCCAAATTTATCTACTACTCGTTGGGCCTCTATGTCACGTGTATCTCGTTTTTTGGTCAAAAGAAGATCTGAAATCATGGCTTATTTTGAACAGAGTGATGTTTCTCAAAGAATTCGTGACATGCCTTCATTATCTTGGTGGATTATGGTTGCAGTTGTAAGTGAGCTTTCAGGGCATGTAAGTCAGTGTGTGGAAGGTTTACAAGGAAGAAGAACTACTTTGCAACAAAAAAGTCGGTTCTTCAAGATCTGCTTACTAACTTACAGCGTTTTGCATGTGTAGAGCGAGTTGGGATTGAATTAAACTCATCCCCAGCGTTTGACATTGTAACCTTGGACAGATGGTAAGTTAGTCATGCCAATCTGATTGGGTTAATCGAAGATCAAGGTCTATTTGCTACCCAAGCATTGGCAGAGATTGACACATACTCAAAAAGTGAAGTGTTGCATGCAGTTGGCAACCTGTTTTTGGAAGCAATTTGTAATTTGAGCAAGGTAGAAGCTACACGTGATGAGTTGAACCAGGCAGCTTCTAGTATTTTGCCACCTTGCTTGCCTTAGGAACGGGTAGCTATGAAGACACGAGAAATTGTTCAGTTAGTTCTTAAATATCAAGATCGTCTCCAAGTTTCTCGGGAACAAGAGGACATAGATAAAATAGTGGAAGAACACAAAGAGCTTCTGGTTTTGTAAACAGAGAGCATCGTCTTCGAAATGCTTTGAGTAGGTTGACTTAGCAGTCTGATTTTTGTGAAGCTTGGAGTACTCCGAATATTAGGAACAGGTTTCCTCGACTTATGGAATTTGTAGGAGGATTAGCTTGTCCATTTCCTAATACTGCAACGGTAGAAAGTGATTTTTCAGTTTTGAAATGGGAGAAAGATATTCATAGGTCCAATATAACTCCCATTTTTCTTCAAGGTATATTACACTGTCGTCAAATTTGAAGTTTATTAAAGAAAACATGACAGATTTATGTCATGTTCCGTATGTTCCTTATTTTGTTCTGAAAATGTTCCTTATTTTGACGAGATACGGAACATAAGGAATTCGCCCTATATAGAGAGGCCTGGTGTAGAGGTAGACGATCGGAGTTCTATAAAGAGTTCGTAGCTGAAGTTAGAGAATGTGAAACGTGTGAAACGCGCTATGCTCGCAATGATGATTCAAGCCAGTTATCCATTCTGAGTTTCGGCCACGTAGTTTTACAGTCTGGGCTAGCCTGATATAATCAGAATGTACATGTGTCCAATCTCCTTAATCTTATCCGGGTTCCAACCTCCAGATTCACACCCCTCCTCCCTTTGTAATGCCACCCCCTCTATATTGTCACCCTTTGACCTTGTAAGTGTGGAACCTTGTCATTTTAGGGCCTGATCACCGAGACCATCAATTTGTATTATAGCAGCATAATATACATCATCATTGCTTTGTAAAATATATATGGTCATTCTCCACCTAATTTGATCACTTATGAAAAATTTTGTATGAAACGCTTGAGTTTGACGCTAGTGGAAAAGGTGTACAACTACAACTTTTCTATTGTTCTTCTTTGGTGTACAACTACACCAAGGAAGAACACCATACTGTGTCCAACAAAAAAAAATTGGTGTAATTGGAATCATAGTGAATAAATGAATCTTCAAGTTGATTGAGGATACATCCTGCTTTTGGGGTCACATTGCCAACCAGTTTCAAGAATTTTGAAAGTTACTTTTGCACTCAAAAATGATCTGATTTAAGAACCGTAAATTGCATTGCAATCACAATGGACTATACTATATTGTCAATACATATGTTCATGTATAATATAGAAAAGTATAGTCAGACATTTCAAACGCTTCATACACTATCTATAGGCAAGTAATTTCATCCATTAATTCAATATGAATGTTCATTCTAGCATGCATATCATAAATGAGCACACAATGTTGATCTTGAGATATTTGATCTTGTCCTTGATATATGATTTGTATCACTTGCTCTCATGTTGTGGTGTGAAGTAGTTTATTAATATGAATTTAGATAGCGCTTAAAGTGGTTGATAAGGCATTCTCTAAAACAGGCAAGAATAGTAAACAAACTTGAGCTTAGCGACTAGTCCATGCGTGGTATCATACAAACTGTCTTGCACCATTATTCAAATT